TGTGTTGGGGCAGCTGTGGTAGTTGTTGGGGCAGCTGTGGTAGTTGTTGTTGTTGGGAGCTGCTGTGGTTGGGCAGCTGTAGTTGTGGTTGGCAGGTGTTGTAGTTGTTGGGGCAGCTGTTGTAGTTGTTGGGGGCAGCTGTGTAGTTGTTGGGGCAGCTGTTGTAGTTGTTGGGGGCAGTTTGTATTGTTGGGGCAGTAGTGTGTTGGGGCAGCTGTTGTAGTTGTTGGGGCAGCTGTAGTTGTAGTTGGGCAGCTTGTTGTAGTTGTTGGGGCAGCTGTGTAGGTTGTTGTAGTTGTTGGGGCAGTTGTAGTTGTAGTTGGGGCAGCTGTGTAGTGGTTGGGCGGCAGCTGTTGGGCAGCTGTAGTTGTTGGAGGCGGCAGCTGTTGTAAGTTTGTAGGTTGGGGGCAGTTGTAGTTGTTGGGGCAGCTGTAGTGTAGTTGGGCAGCTGTAGTTGTGGTTGGGCAGTTGTGGTGTTGTTGGGGCAGCTGTTGTAGTTGTTGGGGCAGCTGTGTGTTGTTGGGGTCAGCTGTTGTAGTTGTTTGGGGCAGCTGTGGGTAGTTGTTGGGCAGCTGTTGTAGTTGTTGGGCAGCTGTTGTTAAGTAGTTGTTGGCAGGTTGTTGTAGTTGTTGGGGCAGCTGTTGTAGTTGTTGGGGCAGNGGGCAGCTGTGGTAGTTGTTGGGGCAGCTGTGTTGTAGTTGTTTGGGGCAGCTGTAGTAGTGGTATGGGCAGCTGTTGTAGTTGTGTTGGTTGCAGCTGTTGTAGTTGTTGGGGCAGCTGTGTTGCAGCTTGTAGTTGTCGTTGGAGCAGCTGTTGTAGTTGTTGAGCAGCTGTTTTAGTTGCAGCTGTAGTTGTAGTTGGGGCAGCTGTGGTAGTTGTTGGGCAGCTGTAGCTGTTGTAGTTGTTGGGGCAGCTTGTAGTTGTTGTAGGGCAGCTGTTGTAGTTGTTAGTTGTTGGGCAGCTGTGGTAGTTGTTTGGGGCAGCTGTTGTAGTTGTTGGGCAGCTGTTGTAGTTGTTGGGGCAGCTGTAGTTGTAGTTGGTTGGGGCAGCTGTTGTAGTTGTTGGGGCAGCTGTGGTAGTTGTTGGGGCAGCTGTTTGTAGTTGGTTGGAGCAGCTGTTTGTAGTTGTTGGGGCAGCTGTGGTAGTTGTTGTTGTAGTTGTTGGGGCAGCTGTTGTAGTGTTGGGGCAGCTGTTGTAGTTGTTGGGCAGCTGTTAGTGTTTGGGTGTCAGCTGTGTAGTTGTTGGGGCAGCTGTGTAGTTGGGGCAGCTGTAGTTGTTGGAGCAGCTGTTGTAGTTGTTGGGGGCAGCTGTGGTAGTTGGTTTGGGGCAGCTGTGGTAGTTGTTGGAGCAGCTGTTGTAGGTTGTTGGGGCAGCTGTTAGTAGCTTGTTGTAGTGGGGGGCAGCTGTGGTAGTTTGTTGGGCAGCTGTTAAGTAGTTGTTGGGGCAGCTGTTTTGTAGTTGTTGGGGCAGCTGTTGTAGTTGTTGGGGCAGCTGTGGTAGTTGTTGGGGCAGTGTTGTAGTTGTTTGGGCAGCTGTTGTAGTTGTAGTGGGGCAGCTGTTGGTTAGTGTGTAGTGGGGCAGCTGTTGTAGTTGTTGGGGCAGCTGTGTGGTAGTTGTTGTGGTTGCAGCTGTGGTAGTTGTAGTTGTTGGGGGCAGCTGTGGTAGTTGTTGGGGCAGCTGTTGTAGTTGTTGGGGCAGCTGTTTGTAGTTGGGGCAGTTGTTGTGTTGTTGTTGGGCAGCTGTGTAGTTGTTGGGCAGCTGTAGTTGTAGGTTGGGGCAGCTGTTGTAGTTGTTGGGGCAGCTGTTGTGTAGCAGCTGTTGTTTGTTTGGGGCAGCTGTAGTTGGGGCAGCTGGTTTGGGGCAGCTGTTGTAGTTGTAGTTGGGGCAGCTGTGGTAGTTGTTGGGGCTGTGGTAGCTGTGGTAGTTGTTGGGGCAGCTGTTGTAGTTGTTGGGGCAGCTGTAGTGTTGGGGGGCAGCTGTGGTAGTTGTTTGGGGCAGCTGTTGTAGTTGTTGGGGCAGCTGTTGTAGTGTTTGGGGGCAGCTGTGTAGTTGTTGGGGCAGCTGTTGTAGTTGTTGGGGCAGCTGTGGGTAGTTGTTGGGCAGCTGTTGTAGTTGTTGGGGCAGCTGTAGTTGTGGTTGGGTGCAGCTGTTGTAGTTGTGTTGTTGGTTGGGGCAGCTGTTGTGTTGTGTGGTAGTTTGTTGGGGCAGCTGTTGTAGTTGTTGGTTGGGGCAGCTGTAGTTGTAGTGTTGGGCAGCTGTAGTTGTTTTGGTTGGGCAGCTGTTGTAGTTGTTGGGGCAGCTGTGGTAGTTGTTGGGGCAGCTGTGTTGTAGTTGTTGGGGCAGCTGTAGTTGTAGTTGGGGCAGCTGTAGTTGTGGTTGGGGCAGCTGTTGTAGTTGTTGGGAGCAGCTGTTGTAGTTGTTGGGGCAGCTGTTGTTGTTGGAGTTGTAGTTGTTGGGCAGCTGTTGTAGTTGTTGGGGCAGCTGTGTAGTGTTGGGCAGCTGTGTAGTTGTTGGTGTGAGCAGCTGTTGTAGTTGTTGGGGCAGCTGTTGGTAGTTGTTGGGTTGCAGCTGTTGTAGTTGTTGGGGCAGCTGTTAGTAGTTTGTGGTTGGGTTGGAGCTGTTTGTAGCTTGTTGGTTGTTTGGGGCAGTGTGTTGTGTTGGAGCAGCTGTTGTAGTTGTTGGGGCAGCTGTAGTTGTTGTTAGTGGGGCAGCTGTAGTTGTGTTGGGGCAGCTGTTGTAGTTGGGGGCAGCTGTGGTAGTTGTTGGGGCAGCTGTGTAGTTGTTGGGGCAGCTGTTGTAGTTGTTGGGGCAGCTGTTGTAGTTGTTGGGGCAGCTGTAGTTGTGGTTGGAGCAGCTGTTGTAGTTGTTGGGGCAGCTGTAGTTGTAGTTGGGGCAGCTGTGGTAGTTGTTGGAGCAGCTGTTGTAGTTGTTGGGGCAGCTGTTGTAGTAGTGGTTTGGGGCAGCTGTTGTAGTTGTTGGGCAGCTGTAGTTGGGGGCAGTTGTTGGGGCAGCTGTGGTAGCAGCTGTGGTTGGGGCAGCTGTAGTTGTGGTTGGGGCAGCTGTGGTGTAGTTGTTGGGCAGCTGTTGTAGTTGTTGGGGCAGCTGTAGTAGTGGTTTGGGGCAGCTGTTGTAGTAGTTGGGCAGCTGTTGTAGTTGTTGGGCAGCTGCAGCTGTTGTAGTTGTGTTGGGGCAGCTGTTGTAGTGTGTTGTTGGGCAGCTGTGTAGTAGCTTGTTTGGAGCAGCTGTTGTAGTTGTTGGGGCAGCTGTAGTAGTGGTTGGGGCAGCTGTTGTAGTTGTTGGGCAGCTGTGTTGTAGTTGTTGGGGCAGCTGTTGTAGTTGTTGGGGCAGCTGTAGTTGTTGGGGCAGCTGTGGTTGGCAGCTGTTGGTAGTTGTTGGAGCAGCTGTTGTAGTTGTTGGGGCAGCTGTAGTTGTAGTTGGGGCAGCTGTAGTTGTGGTTGGGGCAGCTGTGGTAGTTGTTGGGGCAGCTGTTGTAGTTGTTGGAGCAGCTGTTGTAGTTGTTGGGGCAGCTGTAGTTGTAGTTGGGGCAGCTGTAGTTGTGTTGGGGCAGCTGTTGTAGTTGTTGGAGCAGCTGTTGTAGTTGTTGGGGCAGCTGTAGTAGTGGTTGGGGCAGCTGTTGTAGTTGTAGTTGGGGCAGCTGTGGTAGTTGTTGGGGCAGCTGTGGTGGTTGGGGCAGTGTAGTTGTTGGGGCAGCTGCTGTGGTTGGGGCAGCTGTAGTTGTGGTTGGAGCAGCTGTTGTAGTTGTTGGGGCAGCTGTTGTAGTTGTTTGGGCAGCTGTGGTAGTTGTTGGAGCAGCTGTTGTAGTTGTTGGGGCAGCTGTAGTAGTGTTTGGGGCAGCTGTTGTAGTTGTTGGGGCAGCTGTGTAGTTGTTGGGGCAGCTGTTTTTGTAGTTGTTGGGCAGCTGTTTGTAGTTGTTGTTGTTGGTAGTTGTTGGGGCAGCTGTTGGGGCATAGTTGTTGGGGCAGCTGTTGTAGTTGTTGGGGGAGCAGCTTGTTGTAGTTGTTGGGGCAGCTGTTGTAGTTGTAGTTGGGGCAGCTGTAGTTGTGTTGGGGCAAGTGTGTTGGAGTTGTTGGGGCAGCTGTAGTTTGTTTGTAGCAGCTGTGGTAGTTGTTGGGGCAGCTGTTGTAGTTGTTGGGGCAGCTGTTTGTAGCAGCTGTAGTTGTAGTTGTTGTAGTTGGGGCAGCTGTAGTTGTTGGGGCAGCTGTGTAGTTGTTGGAGCAGCTGTTGTAGTTGTTGGGGCAGCTGTAGTTGTTGGGAGTTGTAGGTAGTTGGGGCAGCTGTGTTGTGTTGGTTGTTGGGCAGCTGTTGTAGTTGTAGTTGGGGCAGCTGTAGGTAGCTGTTGAGTTGTTGGGGCAGCTGTGGTAGTTGTTGGGGCAGCTGTGGTAGTTGTTTGGGGCAGCTGTTGTAGTTGTTTGGGGCAGCTGTTGTAGTTGTTGGGCAGCTGTTTGTAGTTGTTAGTTTGGGGTTGGAGCAGCTGTTGGTAGTTGTAGTTTGTTGGGGCAGCTGTGGTTTGTAGTGTTGGGGCAGCTGTAGTAGTGGTTGGGGCAGCTGTGTTGTAGTGTTGTAGTTGTTGGGGGGCAGCTGTTGTAGTTGTTGGGGCAGCTGTTGTAGTTGTTGGGGCAGCTGTAGTTGTAGTTGTAGTTGGCAGCTGTGTGTTTGTAGGTTGGGGCAGCTGTTGTAGTTGGGGGCAGCTGTTGTAGCTGTTGTAGTTGTTGGGGCAAGCTGTAGTTGTAGTTGGGGCAGCTGTAGTTGTGGTTGGGGCAGCTGTGGTAGTTGTTGTTGGGCAGCTGTTGTAGTTGGGGGCAGCTGTTGTAGTTGGGGCAGCTGTTGTAGTGTTGTTTGGGGCAGCTGTAGTTGTGTTGGGTTGGGGCAGCTGTAGTTGTTGGTTGGGGCAGCTGTAGTAGTGGTTGGAGCAGCTGTTGTAGTTGTGTTGGGAGCTGTAGTTGTTGGGGCAGCTTGTAGTTGTGGTTGGGGCAGCTGTGTTAGTTGTTGGAGCAGCTGTGTAGTTGTTGGGCAGCTGTTGTAGTTGTAGTTGGGGCAGCTGTGGTAGTTGTTGGGGCAGCTGTGGTAGTTGTTGGGGCAGCTGCTGTGGTTGGGGCAGCTGTAGTTGTGGTTGGAGCAGCTGTTGTAGTTGTTGGGGCAGCTGTGGTAGTTGTTGGGGCAGCTGTGGTAGTTGTTGGAGCAGCTGTTGTAGTTGTTGGGGCAGCTGTAGTAGTGGTTGGGGCAGCTGTTGTAGTTGTTGGGCAGCTTGGTAGTTGTGGGGCAGCTGTGGTAGTTTGTTTGGGGCAGCTGTTGTAGTTGTTGGGACAGCAGCTGTGGTAGTTGTTGGGGCAGCTGTTGTAGTTGTTGGGGCAGCTGTGGTAGTTGTTGGGGCAGCTGTTGTAGTTGTTGGGGCAGCTGTAGTTGTGGTTGGGGCAGCTGTTGTAGTTGTTGGGGCAGCTGTGGTAGTTGTTGGGGCAGCTGTTGTAGTTGTTGGGGCAGCTGTAGTTGTAGTTGGGGCAGCTGTAGTTGTTGGGGCAGCTGTTGTAGTTGTTGGGGCAGCTGTGTGTGTTGTTGGGGCAGCTGTAGTTGTTGTTGGAGCAGCTGTTGTAGTTGTTGGGGCAGCTGTTGTAGTTGTTGGGGCAGCTGTGGTTGGGGCAGCTGTGGTAGTTGGGCAGCTGTGTAGTTGGGGCAGCTGTGTTTGTGGTTGGGAGCAGCTGTTGTAGTTGTTGGGGCAGCTGTGGTAGTTGTTGGGTTGTGTAGTTGTTTGGAGCAGCTGTTGTAGTTGTTGGGGCAGCTGTAGTAGTGGTTGGGGCAGCTGTTGTAGTTGTTGGGCAGCTGTGGTAGTTGTTGGGGCAGCTGTTGTAGTTGTTGGGGCAGCTGTTGTAGTTGTTTGGGGCAGCTGTGGTAGTTGTCAGCTGTTGTAAGTGTGTTTGTTGGGCAGCTGTTGTAGTTGTTGGGGCAGCTGTGGTAGTTGTTGGGCAGCTGTTGTAGTTGTTGGGGCAGCTGTGGTAGTTGTAGTGGGCCAGCTTGTTGTAGTTGTTGGGCAGCTGTTGTAGTTGTTGGGGCAGCTGTGGTTTGTTGGGGCAGCTGTTGTAGTTGTTGGGCAGCTGTGTAGTTGTGGTTGGGGCAGCTGTAGTGTGGAGCTGTTGTAGTTGTTGGGGCAGCTGTAGTTGTAGTTGGGGCGCTGTAGTTGTTGGTTGGAGCTGTTGTAGTTGTGTGGGGGCAGCTGTGTAGTTGTAGTTGGGGCAGCTGTGGTAGTTGTTGGGGCAGCTGTGGTAGTTGTTGGGGCAGCTGTTGTAGTTGTTGGGGCAGCTGTAGTTGTTGGGCAGCTGTTGTAGTTGTGTTGTTTGGGGCAGCTGTGGTAGTAGTTGTTGGGGCAGCTGTTGTAGTTGTTGGGGCAGCTGTAGTTGTTGGGGCAGCTGTGTTTGGGGGGCAGCTGTTGTAGTTGTTGGGGCAGCTGTGTAGTGTTGGGGCAGTGTTGTTGTGGGCAGCTGTTGTAGTTGTTGGGGGCAGCTGTTGTAGTTGTTGGGCAGCTGTGTTTGGGGCAGCTGTTGGTAGTTGTTTGGGGCAGCTGTTGTAGTTGTTGGGGCAGCTGTGGTAGTTGTTGGGGCAGCTGTTGTAGTTTGTTGGGGCAGCTGTTGTAGTTGTGGAGTGTTGGGGCAGCTGTAGTTGTGGTTGGGGCAGCTGTGGTAGTTGTTGGGGCAGCTGTTGTAGTTGTTGGGGCAGCTGTGTAGTTGTTGGGCAGCTGTTGTTGTTGGGCAAGCTGTGTAGTTTGTTGGGGCAGCTGTTGTAGTTGTTGGGTGTAGTGTGTAGTTGTTGCAGCTGTGTAGTTGTTGGAGCAGCTGTTGTAGTTGTTGGGGCAGCTGTAGTTGTAGTTGGGGGCAGCTGTTGGTAGTTGTTTGGGGCAGCTGTTGTAGTTGTTGGGGCAGCTGTAGTAGTGGTTGGGGCAGCTGTAGTTGTTGGGGCAGCTTGTAGTTGTTGGGCAGCTGTGGTAGTTGTTGGGGCAGCTGTGGTAGTTGTTGGGGCAGCTGTGTAGTTGTTGGGGCAGCTGTTAGTTGTTGGGGCAGCTGTTGTAGTTGTTTGGGGCAGCTGTAGTTGTGGTTGGGGCAGTGTGTGTGGGCAGCTGTGTAGTTGTTGGAGCAGCTGTTGTAGTTGGGGCAGCTGTAGTAGTGTTGGGGCAGCTGTTGTAGTTGTTGGGGCAGCTGTGGTAGTTGTTGGGGGCAGCTGTTGGTAGTTGTTGGGGCAGCTGTTGTAGTTGTTGGGGCAGCTGTAGTTGTAGTTGTTTGGGCAGCTGTAGTTGTGGTTGGGGCAGCTGTTGTAGTTGTTTGGGGCAGCTGTGGTAGTAGTTGTAGTTGGGGGCAGCTGTTGTAGTTGTGGGGCAGCTGTAGTTGTAGTTGGGGCAGCTGTGGTAGTTGTTGGGAGCAGCTGTTGTAGTTGTTGGGGGCAGCTGTTGTAGTTGGGCAGCTGTAGTTGTTGGGGCAGCTGTAGTTGTGGGTTGGAGCAGCTGTTGTAGTTGTTGGGGCAGCAGCTGTAGTTGTAGTTGGGGCAGCTGTTGTTGTGGTTGGCAGCTGTGTAGTTGTTGGGGCAGCTGTTGTAGTGTTGTAGTTGTTGGGGGCAGCTGTTGGGCTGTAGTTGTAGTTGGTTGTAGGGGCAGCTGTGGTAGTTGTTGGGGCAAGCTGTTGTAGTTGGGCAGCTGTGGGCAGCTGTGGTAGTTGTTTGGGGCAGCTGTTGTAGTTTGTTGGGCAGCTGTTTGTAGTTGTTGGGGCAGCTGTTGTAGTTGTTGGGGCAGCTGTTGTAGTTGTTGGGGCAGCTGTTGTTGTTGTTGTGTTGAGTTGTGGGCAGCTGTGTAGTTGTTGGGGCAGCTGTTGTAGTTGTTGGGGCAGCTGTGTAGTTGTTGGGGCAGTGTGTTGTTGGGGCAGCTGTTGTAGTGTTGGGGCAGCTGTTGTAGTTGTTGGGGCAGCTGTTGTAGTTGTAGTGTTGTTGTAGCAGCTGTTGTAGTTGTTGGGGCAGCTGTTGTAGTTGTTGGGGCAGCTGTTGTAGTTGTTTGGGCAGCTGTTGTAGTGTTGGGGCAGCTGTAGTTGTGTTAGTGTTGTGTTGGGGCAGCTGTTGTAGTTGTTGGGGCAGCTGTTGTAGTTGTAGTTGGGGCAGCTGTTTGTAGTGTGTTGTTGGGGCAGCTGTAGTTGTTGGTTTGTAGTTGTTGGGGCAGCTGTTGTAGTTGTTGGGGCAGCTGTTGTTGTGGTTGGGGCAGCTGTAGTTGTAGTTGTTGTGGGGGCAGCTGTAGTTGTAGTGTAGTTGTGGTTGGGGCAGCTGTAGTTGTGGTTGGGTGTTGGGGCAGTTGTTTGTAGTTGTTGGGGGGCAGTTGTAGTTGTGGTTGGGGCAGCTGTGGTAGTTACAGCTGCTCTGGTTGTTGTTGTAGGCACAGCTGTTGTTGTTGAAGCACATAACAGTCGTTAAACAAACATTAACAAATATAATTTAAAATGAATTTTCTCTACTCACCAACAAGTACCAGCAAAATGAGCTGCAGTCTGGAGAACATTTTCAGATCCGCCTCTGTTCAACAATAAAGTCCTTCATTAAATTATACCTTAACCTATTTTGAATCATGTGTATTTAAAATCTTAAATAAATATTTCTTTAAAGTTTGATGCTTACATGTTTAAAAGAATACAGAAAAATGACAATGCAGTTCTTTGGAGCTCAAATTTGTATTTTTATTTTGATGACACGACCATGTGACATTTAGGGGTCAAGTCTTTCTTCAGACATGCTGTGTCATTTAGGAGCTACAAAGATGTGCAGTGCAGATCTGTTTTTTAGCACAGTTTATGTTCTTGGACCAAGGCTAAAGTTGCAACTTTTATTTCATGTGCATTAAGTTCTGAGGAAAATGTCTTAAATTGAATAAATTATCTAAAAAGTGAGATTGGTATTATCTAGTATTATTTTGTGCACACAACAAAATTTACTGCAGGTCCTTCAGACAAGCCCCAATCATGACTCCAATAGATCTGGTTCTTCAGCCAACGTGACCCATCAGAGGAGAATGACCTCAGTGAGGGAGCAGTAATTCTTGGTGTAAAAATATGAAAATGGCCAGGTCAGATTTGGGATCCTCATTTTAAAATAATATTTTTGGTTTTATCAGAAATGCTAGAACAGTAGATTGTTTCTTTTTCTACAGAGACTGTGTCCATGGGGGAACACGAGCCCTGAGGAGCTCAGCCAGTGTCACCTCAGACATTTATTAGTGCAGACTTGTGATGTGAGGAGGAGCCTGTGTGAGCGCTGAGTGTTGGAAATACGATGATTTTGAAGCTAGATTTGTTTTTTGTTATTTCTCATTGGTTAGCTGCTGTAGCTCCCACACATAAACAGGCTGTTTTCTATTGGTCTGATCTGTTTTAGTCCTGGTTTAGTCCTTTTTCAGTCCTGGTTTAGACCTTGTTCAGTCCTGGTTTAGTCCTGCTTGCAACAAAACAACCTGAAGAGTCGCTTGGGAGCCGAAAGGGCCAGCTGCTTTTAGTGAGCCGAGCCAAAAGAGCCGGTTCTCTAAAAAGAACTGGAATACCCGTCACTAGTAGCTAGAATGTGATGCAAAAATGCTGTTAGTCCAACCTACTGTCTGTAAATATGACGTAAAGAGACAGAATAACAATAAATGTTGCTTAAATAAACCCAATTTAAAATCCACTAGAGCCAAACTAAGTTTTTTAAACAATTCAAAATTTACTGTGAATTTTTACATCACTAAATATATCGGTGATTATATTGACTGTCGACAGCTTCAACTCACATTTAATATTTCATATCGGCCGCAACAAAATCCATAGTTTGACGTATACAGTAAAAAATTGCTCAACAGCAAAATCTACATGTATTACCTGGCAATTTTGTTTCCAATAATTTCCTGTAATTTAAAATACAGCTAATCTATTTGCTGTCACAAGAACAGACTCAGAGATAAAATGGATTCAAACATTTATTAAAAAAACAGTTAACAAAATTAACACAGTTAACACTTTAAAGTATGTAAACAAATGATGTAAGAAACAACTTCAAGACACATGTAAATGACTGATAGTTGGACATGAGCTGATGTATAAAGTCCAGAAAGAGCCTGAAAAGAAGAGACGTGAGGATCATTCAGCGCTGCACTCAAGTCCTTTATACGGAAGCCGAGAGGGTCACAACAAACGCAAACGCCGCAACAAATACAAATGCGACAATGCAACAAAAACCACAACACACCAAAAAAAGCCACAACGGAAATGACCGCGGGATTGTATTTTAATGCAAATGCTGCAACAAATACAAAAGCCACAACACAAACACAAATGCTGCAACACATTAAACATCCACAACACATTAAAAAGCCACAACACATTAAAAAGCCACAACGGAAGAGACCGCGGGACTCTATTTTCCGACGGACCGATCAAGCGGCAAGTGAAGAAGAAGAACTACAACGTGAAAAGTAAAGGACCGGAGAAGTAAGAAACGTAAGTAAAAGTAATTTATTGTTTTATCATTATCCGTTTCACGTTGTAGTTCTTCTTCTTCACTTGCCGCTTGATTGTTCCGTTGGAAAATAGAGTCCCGCGGTCACTTCCGTTGTGGCTTTTTAATGTGTTGTGGCTTTTTAATGTGTTGTGGCTTTTTAATGTGCTGTGGCATTTGTGTTTGTTGCGCCGTTCGCGTTTGTTGTGACCCCTCTCGGCTTCTGTACCTTTAGGCTTCCTCTGTTCACCTCATGAAAACATAAGGGTCCGGGTCAAGTGGTAATGGACGGAAACAGGGTCAGATTTTTGACATTCAAATGTCTCTTATTCAGAAACTAGAGGAACTATTGAAATAAGTAAAGTATCAGAATGTAGGAAAGAGTTACACTCCAACAGGGTCAAGTTAAACCTGTGATATTCTTTCAAGTTGGTGAAAAAAAAATTTAAAACTCATGTTGGTAACGGAGGGAATGAAATATGCAGCACTTTTTGATCAATAAATCCAAACAGTGATAACTCTTGGTTCTCACTTACATATCCTTAACAAACTGGTTTGAATATTTGCTTCATATAGTTTTCTACCATATGGTACAAGATTAGGTTGAAAAACCTCTTATTTTTTGAGTAATGAGATTTTTTTTATTAAGAAAGGTCATGGTAATGGAGGGAAAATTGTGCAAGCAAGTAGAAGGTGCATGATTTTGTATAATTTGTCAACTTTTTTCTTCCGGATATTTAAATATTACTTCAAAATCAAAGGAAACTATTTCTATAAAATATATCAGTCCTTCCAAGCAAATTTTTATCATTTTAAATTTTTTTTTTTTGAAAAATCATGAACCTTGATGAACAGTTCAAAGATGGAATAACACAAGATATGATGAAATACATCCATTTATTTACATGATTTTCAGGTCTTTGAAATTTGAGAAATAATGTTTGTTTCATGTTTCATACATGGTCTGTTTAAAACGTATGGAACTTTAGAACCAAAAATGGTACAGAAAAAAGGTCAACAGTTTCATAAACTAGAGACATATGTACCTGTTCAATATATTTTTATATCAGATGCATTAACTTGAATTTTTTCCCTTGATGTTTACTTCTGTTTGACTGGGCCCTTCTGCAGTCACAAACACAGAGGAATCAAAGGAGGTAACAGAGTTACTCTGAGTTTAACTGTCCACCACCAAACCTTTACACAAATGAAATTCAGTGTTCAACTGTAAAAAAGAAGTGGATGCAGCCAAGAAGTGAGTTCAGCTCAGACACAGAGCTGGAATGTGACCAAGTCTTTACTGATCAGTGCTCAGTCTACACCTGGTGACCGAAACAAAATCACATTTTATTATTAGAAACACACCTAATACACCTTTAATATTCACACAGTGAATAGTTACATGGACTTCAACATCCCACAGGTAAATCTGCACATTAATGACATTTACCAATCCAGTGTGCAGTCGCCTTTTAGTGAAGAAGCCACCTCAGATACTCTGGTGAGTGCTTCAGTCTTCAGTGTGAGAGTGAGCTGTGATTTCACCTGAACAAACATACTGACATTTTTATTATAGGTGAAAGTGATACATATGCCTTTAACGCAGCTATAATCAGAAAACAACAGTGGCCCGTGCTACTGTAATGACAGAAAGTTAACATCACTAAATATTTACATTAATGACGTGTTCATCGAACTGAAACCCAGTGTGCAGTAAACTCTTAGTGAAGAAAGGAGTGAGCGACAGAGGTGATGTTTGGTCTTCAGTCTCTAGTGTTCAGCTGGTGCGGTGACACCAAAAAAAATAAATACATATTTTTATTAAACATGGAGTTCATTATTACACTTGCAATCACAAAACATTGTGTTCGATGTTCTGTGACTTCTTTGGCCAATTCTGTAATTTAATCTCATGATTATCTTTACTTTAATCCAGTGCCACTGTGGACTTTTACATCTGAGCAGAAGAGCCACAGCTCCACTGCTCTTCCTCCTGCTGCCTCCTCTCCACCTCGCACACGCCTCTTTTCCTCCATAAACACACGTTCTCTCGACTTGTACCAGGGCCAGTATCTGCATTCACTGTTCACATATACAGTGTTGGGAAGGTGACTTTTAAAATGTATTTCCTTACAGATTACAGATTACATACCCAAAATATCGTTTGTAATGGAATCCATTAAATTACTTAAAGTGAGTAATGTAATCTGAATACTTTGGATTACTTGATTTGCTTGATTTGAGGAAATCTTCACATAAGATGTTTTGTCTGTTAGAAGAAAATAAAAAGCCCAGATTTTACTGAACCAAATTCAAAATATTATTGATAGAAGAGGAGGAGACATGGTCCATGCACATGATTTAGTCCTGTTAAATCCTGTTTTAGACCTAGTGTAGTCTTGGTTTAGTCCTGGTTTAGACCTAGTTACCTCCGCCAAGGAGGTTATGTTTTTGCCGGCGTTTGTCTGTCTGTTTGTTTGTCTGTTTGTTTGTTTGTTTGTTTGTTTGTTTGTTTGTTTGTTTGTCTGTTAGCAACATAACTCAAAAAGTTATGGACCGATTTTGATGAAATTTTCAGGATTTGTTGGAAATGTGAAAAGGAAGAACTGATTTCATTTTGGGGGTGATCCGGAAGAAATCCTGGATTCTGGATCACTTTGAAATTTGAGTTAACATTGTGGTAAATGGGGCCAAGAATTTAGTTTCTCAATACCTGGGTTAATTATTGACCAAACCCCATGAAATTTGACTCAGGGATGGACAATGGGATCCTCTTTCATATTCCAAAGGCTAGTTTCTAGTTTAGAACTGGTTTTAGACCTGGTTTAGACTTGGTTTAGACCTGGTTTAATGTCCGGCAATGAGTGGAATTACAGAAAAAAACTAGAAAAGCACTCAGAGAGCGCAGACCTCCGCCAAGGACTACCCCCATTTTTTATATAAATTGCGATAAAATCAGTCTTCTGGATCAGATCCAGATCAGCCTTTGGAATATGAAAGAGGATCCCATTGTCCATCCCTGAGTTAAATTTCATGGGGTTTGGTCAATAATTAACCGAGATATTGAGAAACAAAATTTTTGGCCCCATTTACCACAATGTTAACTAAAATTTCAAAGTGATCCAGAATCCAGGATTTCTTCCGGATCACCCCCAAAATGAAATCAGTTCTTCCTTTTCACATTTCCAACAAATCCTTGAAAATTTCATCAAAATCGGTCCATAACTTTTTGAGTTATGTTGCTAACAGACAAACAAACAAACAAACAAACAGACAAACGCCGGCAAAAACATAACTTCCTTGGCAGAGGTAAAAAAAAAAAAAAAGAAAGGGAATAGCCCAAAATGTGAAAACAGGAAAATACCGCCGTGTAATCCATTTATTTCAACAAAGTAACTATAATCCAATTACCACTCACTGAAACAGTAACTGTAACTGAATACAGTTACTCATAATTTGTACTCTGATTACTCCGGTACATGTAATCTGTTACTCCCCAACACTGCCATATAACAGCGGCTCCACCTGCACAAACTCCCGTTCTACTGGAGTTTTACAGTTTTACAACAGCACAGCCGGTGTCTGTGTTGTTCACATAAAGTGTCATGTCACTGCGCTCACCTCCGATCACCGCAGCCTCTCATGTCTGTAGCAGCACAGAGATGAGTAGAGGCATTTCACTCACATGCTCATGTAAACAAGTCTATCGGTGTAAATGTGCAGATATGCGTCACAGATAACAACGCGGTGATGCAGGTTTCACAGGCTACGTTTACAGTTAAGTGCTTGGCTACTTAAAGTCCAAACACAGAAACAAAATAAGCTTCCCTACAAACTTTATTACAACAGTGAAAAAATAATAAGTCTGACTTAAAAAAAAAAAAACTGGTTACTTACTCTTTTGTGGAGTGAATGGACCAGTGCAGTTTTCCCGTGAGTCTCTGCTCTTCTTAACTGAACGTGCAGTGTTCAAACATTTGAAAATACAACATTTACATGAAATATCCTCCCATCTACAGCGGAGCACAAACTCACTGTAATTTACAACAGGTCGTTGTAGACAAAGGTTCGTACTAACTGTAATGATTTTCTGTCCCACAGTGCGTTGTTATCTACAGTTACAACATGTAACAGAGGATGTGAAAGGAAGAAGCTGTTGTAAAAAAAAATACAGTAGAAACTACAGCAGTTTGTTACAGAAGTTCGAGAAATCTGAAGGATATGCAGTAAATGTATTTGAGTTGGTGTACTGGATGTGAACCCTTTTTTAGTAGTTTACTAGTTTAGAAGATAGTATGTAGCTAAATCAAATGAAGGATAAATAAATATATATAAAAACATTACTTACTTTTTTCCTTTGGTGGCAGCTGTTGTTAAGTGTGTAATCCTGTGGGTTCTGACCTGAGTGCAGGTGTTACCTCCAGTCTTTATATCGGGCCATTAGATTTTGCATCACAAAGCAAACAAATCAGTGTTCTACGTATTAAGTAATTTATCTTCATTTTTCTAAACTGTACAGCCAATAAATAGTGTTTGTTGACATTGTTTCTTTTCAGATTCGTGTTGAGGATTGGTGTTGTTCTGGAGCATTGTATTTCACATAGCTCAGAGACTTACTTGGCTCTTGCAACATTTTACTGCGATTGAAAGGGAATGAATAATTAAACCAACACACCGCCTTTGAAAAACACACTGCAAGAGAAATAAAACTCGAGAAGTGATTTGCGACGTCACAATGTCCTTTGTGTAAAGTTCCAAACCTTTATTCGTGGATATTGTCTTGATGCATTAAATACTGAAATTGAATCTTAAAATTACGATTACAACATGAAAAACTACACTAAATAATATAATGGGGTATGATGGTGATCATGTTCCAGGTTATATTTAAACAGTTGTCAATGGAGCCTTTGTGGATCATCCAGTCCCAGCCCTTTTAAAGTTTAGTGGAAATTCAATGCTTAGGAACTTTTTGGCCGAGGTGCGTCACACAGCACGGACACAACAAACACACACAGATTTCTGATCGGCTGCCGCGTGCACTGGACATCTGCATTAATTTAACCCTATAAAAAGAACACTGGACATCAACAAAGCTTGATAAAGAACAAAAGTGTGTTATTTTCAACTGTGTAAACAAAATGGACATCCTTGCTTCTAAAAAATTTGGAACAGTAGCCTGCGGGAGTCAGGCTATTGCACTGGTAGCTGTGAAACAGGAAAAGTGTCACGGCTCATTGTGCTGTTCTCTGAAAACTGCTGTGGAACTAAATCAAGTCTTTTTATGGAGCTGGTGATTTATAACTCCACGCACACTTACAAAAAACTCTGGGTGTAAATTCATAAAACCAACTGCTCTCATTAAATGTTTATTTTAAATGATTCGCTTACATAAAAACAGCCATTTTTTTTTTTTTTTTTTTTTTTTTTTGGTGTTGGTCACAAAAATCATGTAAAATAAAACACTTAAGTTACTCATCTTTTATACTCATCTTTTTAGGCTCTCTATGTATATGTTATTATGGTTATTATTGATAATGATGGTAATAATAATAAAAGTAATAAATAATAATAACACTAGTATAATACAATATAATAAAAATGTAAAAATAATTATACAAATAATAAATAATAATAAATTATTGGTAACAATAATAATGGAAATATTAATGATAATGATAATGCGTTATGTTTTTTGTTTATGTATTTATTTTCTTTATTTTCTTTATTATATTAGTGTGCACATTTGTGTGTATTTGTGTTTACATTTTATTTATTGATTTATTTTTTTGCCTGTACCATGTCCTATGCTCCTGATTGCACACCTGTTTTGTCTGCCTCCAGTCGACTCCAGCTTTGGGCCATTATCACGCTTCTGGGTTTTGTGGGCGGGGTTTGTCGAGTTTGTGCACTTCCACTTCAGGCTCAAACAATGGCTCAAACAATGGCTAGATGTCACTTCTCTTTTCAAATTATGAATTAATCATTTACTCACAGTGGTTCGCCTTCAACAACAGGATTCCGCCACTCTGACGAAACGAAAAAGAAATGTCAGAGTGCAGGGACGTTTGATAAAAATGGAAATGCCGCTACTCTGACAATAACACGTCAATATCGGAGTGATGGTTGTCGGAACGGCAACTGTAAAGTTATGTTCGCTAGTAGCCACTCACCTTCATAGTCGTAGGTGAAATTTTCAAAAAATAAACTGTATCCGTTGTCCACTTTGGAGCGGGCTGTGATTGAATGTTGATCAATGAGACGATGTACGTACGAAAAGGATATTTTCGGTAAATTTATAAGGGATGTAGACTATGTAAACAACTTCGGTTCGTCCATCATGAGTTCAATCAATAGAGTGACAATTCACCGGAAGTAGGCGTGCACAAAGGTCACTGAATGTGGAAGTACTACGTATCAGCGTGATAATAGTCTATTGGTTGATGTGTTTTACTTGAAGGCCACGCCCATGCTCTGTTTTAATTAAGCCCTGATGAAGACCAGATAAGGTCGAAACATGTCGGCTTTGGCCATTCAAATAAAGGTCTTTTAACTATATTTTTCCTTGTGCGATTTTTTTACTTTTTCTACTTGTTTGGAGCGCCTGGAATCCGTTGTGTTTGAGTTTTGATCCAAGAGCGCCCTCTACCTGCTCCTACTGATTGGAACACCTGCAGCAAACAGCCACATTTATTTTTATTTTTTTATACTCATCTTTTTATTTATCTGTGTCTAGTTAACATATTTAAAATAAATCATCTTAAAATTTGAATTCTAACGTCTGAAATGGCCAGTATCTATTAAAATACAATCATTGATTCAGAATTGATAAAACCTTCAGCCTGGGCGAAGAAAAACACAAGCAGTTCTGCAACATGAACGACCTGAGAGAGAGAAGCCCAACCCAAAACAAAATGAAACGTGATACCACAGCCACGGATAAACAGACTGAGACTTAGACATTATTCACCAATGAGGGAAATGACTTGGACACAAAGTTCACACATTACATAATATTACAATAACAAAGAGTAAATAATATAAAATGGTAACAGTAAATTAACAATAGAAATAAAGTAGCAGTAGCAATAAAAATAGCAAGAGATGGTGTCGAATAAGGCACAGCAACATAAACCTAAATGTTTTCAATTAAATGTTTGGATCAACATTAAGTACATTAATAAGCGAGTTTCAGCTGACGTCATTGTTATTAAAAGCCCGCGTTGCTGCTGGGAAATATTTTGGTCGGAGGCAAGAAACACGATAGCATCAAACACAGTGCGTAACCTCGCGTATTTATCCCCGATAATGGTAAATTCCTGCTGCATTATCGGATGCACAAATAGAAGCACGGAAGAAGGAAAATGTCTTTTTCGTATTCTGAGTGAAAAGAACCGCTAACAGTGAATTAAACGACTTTCAAACATCCGCAGAGCAAACGTAGAAGATCCTAACAAACCGTGGACTCCAACAAGTTCAACAACACATCGAGACTCTTGGAGGTTTTCATCTTTTCTGCTGTGAATGGCCCAGGAGTTTCCACCAAGTCATTGTGGATATCACCGAAGTGAATATTTGTCCAGGTAGTTGGGGATTCCGACCAGAAATTTGGTTTGGTCCACCTTTTGTCGGGGTTGAAAAGGGTGATTTGTCGTCCGTCGATGTTTATGACCAATTTCTGGTCAAATGGTCTTGGGTCCTCTGCCGTTAGAGTGGATAAATAACCGAGACCAATATCCTTTACGTGCTTTCTCGCTCCGTCCGTCATGTTGAATTAGTGTTTATTGCCGCCGACCAAAATAATTCCCAGCATGCAACGCACGCTTTTGTCAGTAATGAAACTTGCCTATTGACACTATGTTTTTTTGAAGGTACGGCACAGCCAAGTCCAGTCTCCACACTGGTGATGCACAGTGTTGGGAAGGTGACTTTTAAAATGTAATCCCCTACAGATTACAGATTACATACCCCAAAATGTAGTTTGTAACATAATTCATTACTTAACCAGATTAAAACTATTATTGACAGAGAAAAGCTTTATTTATGAGATCACTGCTGTCCTTAAATTATGTCCACCTACTGTTAGTGTCATATTGTTTAGACCTGGTTTAATCCTGGTTTAGTTCTAGGTTAGTCCTGGTTTTAGTCCTGGGATTAGTCATGGTTTTAGTCCTGGTTTAGTCCTGGGTCATCACAGTCACGGTCCATTCTTCATTTAAACACAAAATCGAAAAAAAAAAAAAAAAGAATCATTATCTGTTTTATTCATTTTGGTTTTGGAGACAAATAACGAAGAAAACAGTTGTTTTTTTGTTTTCTTATTTTTGGTTTTATATTGACCTAAAATCTTGCATTTCTTCATGTGAATGGGCTCACCTCTCAACAGATCTGACATGTAACTAGGCTTTGTGGTGTTACCTACCTCCGTAGAGATATATGAGTGTAATGCCATACTGTGGAACATTCTAGGCAATATCTCCATGCAGAGAAGCAGGTGATGGACCCTTCACCAGAAAAGTTACACAGTGCACCTTAAAGTTACCTCTACAGGGCAATATAAATATACACTATAACAAAGACTAAACCTTTTTCTGTATTTCAAACTCACTGGGCATCCTAAAAGAATTATTATTTGTCATCAAGAGATATATATTTTCTATTTTTCCAAACAGGGGTTCCAACAAACAAAAATATGTAAATGGACCGATTGAGTGCATGAATGGTGGCTCGAATGATTAAACTGAATAAATAATTTCATTGCTCATACATATAAAATCCTAGCATAAGCCCAGATTGATATGAAAAGTAAGAGTTTTCTATAGTCCCTTCTGTATTGCCACTTCCAGACATGATATAGCGGCACTAATGGGAATTTAGCATCTGAAAACAGTGCTGAGTCTTCATACAAGGACAGAGGTGCCAATTTAGTGCTGTCAGGAAGAGCCCAGGCTGTTTTAATGGAGCGAGTTTTAGCGTTTAAAGCTAATTAAATTGGACAGGTACCGTATTATAGCAGAGGTCTCTTTTATATAAGACAAGATGGCCAACCTCACTTAAGCGTACTGTGGTCTGTTGATTACTAATTACAATGTTTTTGACGTGACAATGATTATATGTACTTTATTAGCAATAATGTCTAAACAGTGTGCTTGTAAACTGAAACAAAATCTGCTCGTGCATAACTCTTTATTAGCAGAAATCAGGGAGTTGTCTCCAGGTCTAAAGATGTTTATAAAGTAGTCACTGATCTGTAACATGGCAGATCTCATGGCTGGAATTTTAAACATTAAAATCATGATTGCACAATATCAGAACAGTTTTGTGTTGTGATATTTTAAAGGTCCATTATTACGCAAAAAGAGCATTAAAACATGTTATACTTTCTCAAAAACATACATGGAGTTGTGTTTTGTTTCATTCACACGTTTGAGTAATCCTTTATTATTAGTCTGTCTGCATCTCTGAAGCTCAAAATGCTCTGTTCCACCTTGTGATGCCATGACATTAAACAGCTCTATCTTACACTGAGTCAATTAAAGATGGTTTTATTGCTCAAAAATACCTAGAGTAGACTAACAGGCATACTGACTGTGAGCAGGGTTGCCACTCCATAGATTTGACCTGTAACTTGGCTTTTTTGGTCCCCATGAAAATAGAATGATTTGAAACATTCTAAACAGAGCAATAACATCTCCACTGAGAAAAGGAGGTGGCAGATCAAAAAAGTTACACAATGCAAGTTTACAGCTTTTCAAGTTAACAGCTACCTTTTACCTTTTGTTCAGTAGAGATCGACAATTCTATTTTTTTTTTTTTTTTTATTTATTTAAAAAAATAGGGACAAAACACATTAATGAACATATACATGATATGTAAATATGTTATCAGATTATAGCCCAAGGCTAATTTCCATCTGCTGTCCCTAGGCAGGTTGATGAGATCATAAAACAAAAGCACAGTAAAAACAATACACCCCGACAGACAATACAGTAATACAAATAGACAGACACAAAGAGCTGGTCAGTCACAAGATCACAGACACAGGTCAAGCAAAGGATGTTGGATTATTTGATCAAAATTGCACGCTGCCTTGTTTAGTTAAGATGCCAGTGTATGTATATTGCACACAGCCCATTGCTAAAATTACTATAAAGTGCTTTTCTACAATGTATTGCATGTGCCCTCGAAGGTAAAATTCTTTAGTATATTACATATTGCCCGTAATTTAAATATTAAAATACTTAATAAATAGCATATTGCACTTTGCCCATTGCACATTGTGAACTATAGTAAATGATCACACTCCTGTGTCGACCTGAGCCACGTCTTTAAATGGCCTTTAAAAGTCGTGAAGCTGGGGGAGTCTCTAACTGTGGGTGGTCGACTGTTCCACAGAACACTGCCCTTATATGAAAACACATTTTGACTGAAAGAGGTTTTTCTATCAGGCACCTCACAGTCTCCTGTGGCTGTGGCCCTGGAGGAGTGACATGTAACACTTGACCTATACCTGATATAATCACTGAGTGGAGGTGGAGCTAAACCGTGCAAAGTCTTATACATCAAACAGGCATTTCTAAATTTTATAAAATTCTGAAAGCTCAATAGATTGTATTTGGAGAGAACATTGCAACTATGGTAAGTAAAGGGTTTCTTGTCTAATATTTTCAAAGCTTTTTTGTAGAGGGATTCTATTGACTTAAGAGCTGTTACACCTGACAAAGACCAACTGATTATACAATAACTAATGTGAGAAAAAATCATACAATGTAAAAACATCATTGCAGCTTCATTAGTTAATGACCTGCGTATTTGATTAAAATTACATAGATTGTATTTTATTATTCTAGACACCATTTTAACATGGTTTTTGAATGTAAGTGCAGAGTCCAACATTACTCCCAGATATTTGAACTCCTTCACTAATTTCAATTCTTGACTTTTGAAATACACATTTGACCTATTTACCTTATTTTTATTTTTATTTTTAGAAAAAAACATACACACAGTTTTTTGTGTGTTTAACAGGAGACAGGACCTGGTGAGCCAATTCTCAACATGTGTTAATGCTGATGTGAGAATCTGAGATACTTCTTTAAAATTTTTCCCACTTTTCCAGGGCTGAAATTATCCAAATGATTCTAATGAAGACATATGGAGTTCAAAAACACAGTGGAGC